GAGTTGCGAGGATTCTTAGATACATCAGGATATTGCAGACTCTGGATTCCAAATTTCGCTGTTTTGGCCAAACCTTTGTATATCTCCATGAAGGGGGGGGGTGAAAAGGAACCCTTCATTTGGGGCCTGGAACAAAAATGGGCATTTGAAACCCTAAAAACAGAATTATCTCAAGCGCCGGTAACGGGGCTCCCCAACTTACAAAAACCTTTTAATCTCTTTGTGGATTCAAAAGGCAACACTGCTCTGGGAGTCGTGACGCAGGAAAAAGGAAGTTGGCAGCAACCTGTGGCTTATCTATATAAGCAACTGAACTGTGTTGCAAAAGGCTGGCCACATTGCCTAAAAATTATAGCCGCCATAGCTCTCCTAATGGAGAAAGCTAATAAATTAACTTTTGGACAGCCTACCACTATCTATACCAGCCACGCAATTCAAGGAATTTTAGAAACGAAGGGACATTTATGGTTAACAAACCCTAGAATTTACAAATATNTGAGTGGTTTCTTTCTTGGTTATTAAGTGAAGGAGCCGTGACATTAAGCTGGATCTCACTTCACATCCATCCCGGAGCGAACACCTATGCTAAAACTGGCCACCCAGATCAATATCAGTATATCGACCAGTGGCAGATAGCAGTGCAACAAAATCCTGACTGGCTCCGTAAATGTAAAAATGAAGCCGTAAAGGTTTGTGTGGCCCGAATAAAAGGAAATGGCAAAAGCAAGGTCAAAATGAATCACCCTGAGAAAAAACCTCTCCTCCAACTGCGCCCGATGAAGAAGCACCTCTTTATCACCCAAGGCAACTTCAAATGCAGGCAGTGGAATTAACCAAGGGGCAGTAGGACAAAGTGACCAGGGAGAAAGGCAAAAATTGGAAAATCCGTCTAGTGGACCCCCTCCTCCTATAACCCTATGAAATTCCCCCGTTGCCATCCAAACTAGAAGTCAGCTCCTAGCTCCGCTGTGCCAAATGAATCAAAGGGTTATAGATGGACAGATACAAGTAGAGATCCAACCTTTGTTTCAATACGTCCCGTTTACCACCACAGACTTGTTGAATTGGAAACAACATTACGGACCGCTGTCCACTAAGCCTCAGGAAGTCATTGACTTGTTTAGAGTCATTATCAGAACCCATAATCCAACATGGCAGGATTTGGAGCAATTAATGAGTACTCTCCTTAATGGAGAAGAAAGAGAAAGATTGAGTAGTTCCATTGGAAAAATCTTAAAAGCTGCAGATAGAGGAAGCCTTCAAGCTGCGCTAAATTTATGGTTTCCACGGCACGATCCGCAGTGGGACTCCTATAGAGATATGGCCTCCCTCCGGGACTATCAGGCACTAATTCTTCAAGGCTTAGAACAAGCTGCAAAACTCCCAGTAAATATGTCCAAATCCTTTCTCGTGATCCAAAAATAAGACGAAAGTCCCGAAGCCCTTTTCCAAAGGCTGGTCGATATGTATAAAACCTACACCCCTATCAACCTCCTGGATCCCAAAAATGTCCGTATGCTAGTGATGGCTTTCATATCCCAGAGTGCCCTGGACATTAAACGAAAACTTCAGAGGCAAGAAGGAGCCTCAGGAATGAATATAAGCCAATTAATGGAAATCGTTCGCAAAGTCTTTGTGAACAGAGAAAAAGTAGAAGAGAAAAAGAAGGATGATAGAATGCAACGCAAAACCGAATTGCTGGCAGTTGCATTGTCAAATAAATCCCAAATCCAGAGCAGAGGTTGATGTAATTGGTGTAAGGAAGAAGGTCACTGGATGTTAGAGTGTCCCAAAAGGCTAAAAGCTGGGATAAGGGAAAGAGGACAGAATAGAAGAATGGAACCTGGTCGATTGAATTGAAAGGTCAAGATTTACAATCCCCTAGGAGGGAGAAGTGGAAGAGGAATGAAGCCCCCTGGATTCCCGGGCAGAGGCCGAAGACTGCTTCAAAGCGAGGCAGAAGCCATAAGCTTGGCCATGATAGACGAAAGGTCTGAAGACTGAAGGGGACCAGGGTTTAGTCCAGCCCCCCCTGAACCCTTGGTCCAAATGAAGACAGAGAGTAATAATGTAACCCTTTTGGTAGACATAGGGGCGTCTAGATCAGTAATTACAAAACCCTTGGCTCCCATTTCCAATAATGTACTAAACATCCAAGGGGTTGATGGTTGGATAAACAGCCGCCCTGTGTTGAAGCTTTTAAAATGTTCCCTGAATGGAAGAGACATAGAATATCAGTTCCTATACATGCCTGAATGCCCAGTTCTGCTGTTGGGTCGTGATATCCTATGCAANCTAAACCATACTTCCGAAAAGCCATATCAATTTTAACAGCATCTGTACAAGTAGATTCTGAAATGTAATACCACACAAAGTATGTCGTCTGTACTGTTTGCTGTTTGCTGCAAGGAGGAAATTTGCTGGAGGCAGAGGCAGATTCCCCCTGCCTTGTTTCCCCCCCCCAAAAAGCTAGGTGCATCTTATACTTCAGAGCGTCTTCTACTCCGAAAAATATGGTAGTTATTTTCAAAGACACTATGTTAGGAATGCACTGTTATTAGTTTGGATTACAATAAAAGAACATTATTTGAAAATACCAGTCTGGCTTTCCACTATGGAAGCATTGGTACATCATGCAGTTATTAACATGGAAAAAATTGTAAGATATAAAGATATTTTGAATGAAAAACAAAGTAGGAACTTAGTAATCAAGGGATGGACATTGCATGATGGCCACACATGCAAATGCAATCTCGTTATGAGAAAGATGCTAAAATGTATGGTTTTAATAAAGCGTTAACAGAATTAGACCAGATATTAACTAGAACAGATGAAAAACTGGTAAAGAAATTATTTTGTTATTTATTAAGTATTAAACTTGAAAGTGAGCAGATAAAGGAGATGATTGCATGGGCTAAAAACTTTGGATAGCAATAGAATTAGATAAATGGCAAAAACTATGGGATAGAAATATTGAATTGACTATGTCAACTGCACATAAAGAAAATTTGTATAAAATGTTTTATAAATGGCATTTTGCACTGACAAGATTGGCAAAAATGTACAGATAGATCAGCTAAATGTTGAAAGTGTAATCAATCATCTGGTTCATATAACCATATGTGGTGGACATTACCAAAAGCTAAAAAATATTGGATGAAAATACATACTTGGTTGGAAAAAATGATCAGCGATTTTTTGGGGGGGGAGGGGGCATCCTACTGGAAAAATATGATAAAAGAACTATATATCTGGTTTTACATATACTAACTGCAGCCAGAATTGTATTTATACAGCAATGGAAAAATGATCAGATTCCATCAGATGAGAATACAATTAAAAAAATATTAGAATGCACAGAAATGGATAGATTAATGCTTACTATTAAGGATAAAGAAGAAACTGAATATTTTTTGATATGGGACATATTTTATCAGTGGCTATATAATAAAAACAGAATTAGAAACGAGACATAAAAAGAGGAAATGTTAAGTGGGCAGTTGCTAAAAAGATAGTGTTAAGTATTATTGTTATATTATTATATTATTAACATTATTGTGATGAGCACTGTAACAAATATGTGGATTGGGACTGCTTAAAGCCACTGTACCCAGATCACACACAGTTTGATGGAAATTGATTTTTTATATTATATAAATAAAACATGAAAAAAAGAGAATACAGAACACCCTATAAAGATAATAAAAACTGGGAAAATTCATAGCAAGCTCTTTTTAAAAAGTGAGGAGTAATGGACATGTGGGAAGCCACCTCCCTCCTAGAAGAATGAAATATTTTGAGGAATATTAAAATAATTTTGTATTTTCCTAAAGGAGAAATGGAGAAACATGCTCTTGGAGACAGAAAGCAACCCCCACTTTTCTTAATAGCCTCAGCAGATACTGCAGGCAGGTTTTAGAAATGCAGATTTGTTCATTCATTCAAGAAAGGATATTTTGAAACAAAGGCAGAATGGTAGGATTAGCCATCACCCAAGAGTCAAAACAGGACGAAAGCTATTAAGCTACAATAGAATTAATCAACACCATTTCAGAACACAAGCCCTTCATTGCATCACCCTCAGAAACTTCAACCAAACTTAGCTCAGACAAATACATGTTTTTACAAGGAACAGGAAGCTCAAGTGCAAAGCACAAGAGAAGTGCTCTCAATTTTCCCCTCACTGTCAATTCCATGTGATCAGCTGCCCAGAACCAATGTGGTTCTGTTCATCAATAAATGGACCCTCTTTCCAATTAGCCTCCAGTCTCCATTTTGTCTCCAGTGCCTTTCTCCCAGCTTGGAACTGAACCAGATGTATATTTCTTCCCACAGAGTTAACACAGCTGGTATAGATGGAATTCGAAGCAGAGATCAGCAAGAGAGGCAATATATTTTAAAAAAACTTTCTGGGGTTTGGTGATGGTGAACTATATTCCTTCAGTTCCTTCCTTCAGTTTCAAGTAAGAAAAAATGAGAGAAACAGTATCTGCGTTGATAATCTTGAGCATAAACATGCCAGTCTGTTCTCAGACACTTAAGCAGGGTTAGTACTTGGATGAGTTTCTCTTTGGAATACCGACTACTATTAAGCTTCTTGTTTTATTTTGTGGGCTTCCTTTATTATCACCCGAGTCTTCTTTTTATTCCCCTCTGCGCCCTGGCATGAGCCGAGCAATTGTGAAGCGCTAAGAGGAAACATTTTGGGAAAAGACCTAACTTCCTCCTTCTCTCCTCAGAGAGCATTCAGAGCGTCTATCAGATGTCAATTCAACATTGCAACTCTGGGAAGCTCATAGTCTGCTCAATAATATTATATCCCACTCAAGCGTAAGACAGACGTCGGAAGACGACAAGCTAGCAGAAACAGAAACGCGAACTCCTACATTCTGAACGAAAGAAAGTTAAGAATAGCTGAAGCTCAGAGGGCAACATATGAATGATTATTCATACCATTCTGAAATCTGGATTTGCTTACATTTTAGAGCTGCAAACAGACACGCGCGACCTTTCGAGGCGGAAGTGATCAGCTGACTCTGGAGTCATGCGGTCGGTAGGCCTGGCTGCGTGAGATGCCGGTGTATTTTCTTCGATTTCTTTTCCCTGCTGTTTTAACATGCTTTCTCTGGTTGTGCTTCATTTCCTAGCCGCAGGATTTGGATCACCGGTAAGCATTGTCCTTTCTCGTAATCTCTCACAGAAAGATAACTTGCACGAGGGAAGATTTATTGGGCGCGGGTCCATAAGGGAGCTGCCGCCCGGAGCAGACGACAGCGCTGCGTTGATGGAGTGTTCGAACTTGGCAACTTTAACATGAGTGGATTTGTATTCCAAAATATAAGACTTAAAATTGTCAGAGTTGGGAATCATTGCCATAGATTGATAGTGGAGAATTCAGTTTGCTTGCCGAACATATTTGAAGCCGCATCTTGTAGTGCCAATGTAGTCTTACAAAAATTCAAATATGATCAGGAAGAAATCTGAGCTCCTACAACTAATCTATAGCAGTGTTTCTCAGCCTAGATAATTTTAANCACCGCCAATACCAACCCAGCTCTCATAGGTCAAGGAAAGCAGGCCAGTTGCAACCTGCAAATCAGTTCATTAAAAGGGATGTTAGTGTGTGGGCCACCTCCTCTATGTATGTATGAATATAATCTATGGCCTCTTCTTCCCCCTTGTCCCCCCCCTCCATGCGGACGATGGCTTATGAGAAACACTGCCCTGGAGGCTTGGGACGGGCAGCGGCATATCTGGCGGTTATGGGCGGCTTCAGTGTCGCAGACAGCCTCTCGGACGGCGCCCCCCTCCCCTCCATGAACGGCAGCCCCCAGCATGCATTAAGCTGGGGACAGCGCTGGCGGAGTTTTGGGTAAACCACCATTGTGCACTAGTGTAGAGAGTGCTTGGGGGGGACTGAAGGGACTGGATAGGCTGGAAGAGTGCCGGGATTGCACTGCGACTGTGAAACGGAGGATTACAACTGCCCTGGGCCATTATGGTTGCGGCTGCCTCCGTTTGAAGGACTATTAAACCATTATTAAACTATCTAACTGACTGAATTGCCACCCCATATTGTTACGGTGAATGCTGAATTGCTGCGCCTGCGGGAAGAGCTAGAGACGGCCTTGGCTGCCCCCTGGCCGACGTTCTTTTTCCCCTCTCTGTCTCTGCTAAGACCGCGGGGAACGCTGAGAACTCTGACAATATTGAAAACGGAGTGAATGCTGAGAATACCCAGAGAGAGAGCACTGAATGCTCTGGAGCTTTGTGGGTGTCATTACTCAAGTAGCTGGGCGAACTGAACCATCTTGCGAACTTTGCTGTGCCGCCCGTGGCGAGAGGCAGGCGGAGACTTCCTGACCACCAGGGCTGAGGGGGCCTGCTGGAGCCTGGAAGAGCTGGCTGAGACCGTCTTGGCTGCCGTGGAGGCAGCTATCGGAGACTGTTTTGGGGGGACCCGACCCCCCCCCCCCAGGTTGTCTGACGCCTCCATTTGCTGTTTGTGCTGCTGCAGGGTCAGGCTAGGGACAGGGTAGGGTTAGTTTAGAANCAATGTAGTCTTACAAAAATTCAAATATGATCAGGAAGAAATCTGAGCTCCTACAACTAATCTATAGCAGTGTTTCTCAGCCTAGATAATTTTAAAATGTCTGGATTTTTGGCTGGGAAATTCTGGGAGTTAAAGTCCGCTCATCTTAAAAGTTGCCAAATTTGAAAAAACTTTCATGAAACTGCATGTAGAGCCCAGCCTTTGCAAATAAGCCTGGCAATTAGGAAGTGTGGGAGACCAAGTTTACTTGCCAGACCCATAGCTGTATTCTTGAGTCCTGTGGAAACTTTGAAGAATTTAACTGAGCTTAGCCTCCTTAGATAGGAAGCTAACTAGGAGATCCAAGGACTTAGTCTAAATGAGGAAGTGAAAAAATGTCCAGATAAGACAGTTTTCCTGTCATTGCTTATTGTAATGTAGTCACCAGAGGGAATATCTACCTTATCTAGAAAAGCACCCAAATTGCAGAAGCAGATGCTTTTCTCTGTATTTGAAAACGTCTGCACTTTCTTTGGTTAATTGAGATTAAAATCCATTGATTTAAAGAATATGTAAAAAAAATAATCCTGTAACTCCTCTGGAATTGAAACTTCCACAATGTTCAAACCAGTTTTAGTTGCTAAATTATTGTCAATTCCTTGCAAAGTTGTCCCTGCAGTTACTAGTTATGCTTTCAGACAGTTCTGCCAACATCCCCCAATAAAGACAATGGAGAAACTGGCAGAAAGTTGAAAGTTGTTCTCACTCTCACTGTTTTCCCCCTACACTTATGATTGCAATATCTTTAGGAAAATTTAATGTTCATTCTGGTCATAAAACTGCATTATCTCTCAAACTTGACTCAAAAGATTGTTTGGTATAATATATTCCCCTACATTCAGAGATGCTTATCTGAAAAATCTGCTAGGTGTTGGAAAGTTTTCTCTTTTTTTTAAAGTCTAGTGAGAAAAAGTGATATAATGTAATTTGGAATATTTCTGGAACTCTTAAAAGGAAGTCTTTACACAGGCGAATCCTGCATCAGAAAATCGTACGGTATGAGTAGGCTGGCAGACAGGTCATCTAGTATATAATTATTTTCTTAGAAGATAATAGTTGCTACATTTAGTGGTGAGTGGAGTATAGCAGTGCATAGGTTGCATAATGACCAATAGTATAATTATTTTCCTGATTTTAAATAATTGGAAATAGAAGATTCATATAGATAGAGGGAGGGATGGATGGATATTGAAGAAGAATAGAATAAAGCTGGAAGGGAGCTTGGAGGTTTTCTAGTCCAGCCTCCTGCTCAAGCAGGAGAACATACTATTTCAGACAAGTGATTACTTTGTCTAATAGATAATCTCTTCTTAAAAACATCCAGTGATGGAGCGCCCACAATTTCTGAAGTCAAGCTGTTCCACAGGTTAATTGTCCTCACAATTAACCAGTGGAATTAATCAATTAATTAAGTTTCTCCTTCATTCTAGATTGTCTCTCTCTTTGATTAGTTTCCAACCATTGTTTCTTGTCTTCTGGTACTTTGTAGAATAATTTGGCCCCCTCTTCTTTGTGGCAGCCCCTCAAATACTGGAATGTTACTATCATGTTGCCACTAATTATTTTCTTTAGACTAGCCAAACTCAAATCTTGTAGCCATTCTTCTTATGTTTTAGTCTCCAGGCCTTTGATTATCTTAGTTGCTCTTCTCTGAACTTCTTCCACAGTCTCAACATTTTTTGTAGTATGATTATCAGAATTGGTTGATGTATTCAAAGTGTGATCTTACTAGGGTTTTATAAAGTGGTATTAATAATTCATATGATCTTGATTCTATGCCACTGTTTATACAACCCAGGATTCTACAGGTAGCCCTCATGATACAAATGTAATGGAGTCTGCCTTTTCCATTTGTAACCTGAGTATTCGTTGGAGTGAATCTTGAATGGGATCACTCCCTCCTTTTACCCACACATTCGCTAATTGAATGTGAGGCTCGTTAAGTGCACATGAGGTATTTCAGGGTGGGGAAGGCTGTGGGGGCCTAATGATGAAACAGGGCACTTGCTAAGACCACCCAAGGCCTCCCTGACCCACTGAAATACTTCATAATCCCCACAATTGCTTTCCACTAACCTATCTTGCAAGGTCACTTACCTTGTGAAGATCAAGCAATCAGTGTTCTCGCCGACCTCTCAGCTGCGTGTGCTCCTCCGACACTCCATTCGGGCCTTAGCAGGCCTAGCCTGGCATGTTGCCTGCTGAAATGGACCTTCTCAGAGGTGGATTTGCCCCTCCAACACTTGGTTTGGGCATGCAGAGGCCTCACCCGGCACGTTGCTGGCTGAAATGGAGTTTCTGAGAGGTGGATCCATCCTTCAGAAGCTCCATTTCGGCTGGCAATGTACTGGGCGAGGCCTCTAGATGCCCGAATAGAGCTTCTGAGGGGCAGATTGCCCCTCAAAAGCCCCATTTCAGCTGGCAATGTGCAGCACAAATGTTGCAGAGCCACTGCAGTTGTTGGTAAGGGTGGACAACTGCCATTAGTTTTGGGACTTGTTCGTAAATGCTTGGGGGTGCTTATCACATAATTTTTGAACATTTGCTAAGGAAACACTCATAACCCAGATATTACTATATCAACCTTTTTGGCTGCTGCTGCACACTGCTGGTTCATGTTCGTGATCATCCACTAGGACTCCAAGGTTCTTCTGACAGTTACTGTTTTTGAGCCAGGTCTTACCTAATTTGCACTTATTCCTTTGATTTTTCCTGCCTAAATGTAAAACTTTGCTTTTCTCCACATTAAAATTCAGTTTATTGGAAAGGGCCCATTGTTCAAGTTTGTCAATATCTTTTTGGATCCTGAGCATATCCTCAGGGGTGTTGGCTATTCCTGCCAGTTTAGTGTCATCTGCAAATTTCTATTCCCTCATCTAAGTCATTTATGAAGATATTGAAGAGTACTGGGACTAAGATGGAGCCATGTGGTACCCCACTACTTACTTATCTCCATGTGGATGGAGTACCATTAAGGACCATTTGTTAAGTACAATTTATCAGTCAGCTGCAAATCCATCTGGTGGTGATGTCTATTCTACATTTTCTAGCTTACCAAGAAGAAGGTCGTCTTTGTCAAATGCTTTACTGAAATCTAAGTATACTATGGGAAAGAAATTATAAATTTAGGACAGCAGTGGCTTACAAAGAAAACTTCTATAAGATGTTTTATAGATGGCATTTGTTTCCAGCGAGATTGGCCAAAATGTACCCAAATCTATTCCCCAAATGTTGAAGATGCAGCCACAAGTCTGAAACATTCTACCATATGTGGTGAACATGCCCCATCACAAGGAAGTACTGGTGCAAAATTTGGAAATGGTTGGAAGAAATTACTGAGCGAAAAATAGAACTCAAATCAGAAGCATTCTTATTAGGACTATTAGACCAAAAAATGGATAAACAATCTCAATACATAATCATACACATACTCATTGCAGCCAGGATTGCTTTCACACAAAGCTGGAAAAAAACCAATACATCCCCAGATGAAACAATAATTAGAAAAGTAATCGAATGCACAGACGGACAAAATGACAATAGAACTAAAAGAAAGAGAAGAATCGGATTTCAAT